TTCTCCCTTCCCCTTGTTATAGAACTTGCTGGTGTTGTGGTGTGCGAGATTAAAGGAACTAAAAGTAGCGCAGCTTGCCAGCCCCGATGTTACAGACGATACTCTCAAGACACGCGAAAAGGCCTTGGTTTGGAAACAAGATCTACGCATTGTTCCCTTGTGCGCTGCAATTTACTTGCTCTGTTATCTTGATCGCTCTAACATCGGTATGTTTCCCGGACCAAATTTCGGATAAACTTGAAGCTAAAACATCTAGGCAATGCCAAAATTTTGAATTCGAATACTCACAATGATCTTCTCTCGGAGACTAAAATGACTTCGTATCAGTACACGTGAGTGGCAACCATTGATTAACCACGACTATTCAAAGTGCTGATTTATAAAAGGATCGCACTCATGGTATTTCTGATCGCATATGCACTGTTTGAAGTTCCATCAAACTACTTCTTGAAGAAGCTCCGTCCCAGTGTGCGTCTAAACCAGTCCATACACAGCATTCGTTCCCAATCATTTCAATTCCACTAACACACACCAGCGTTGGATTGCCTTCCTTATGCTATCCTGGGGTGCAACAACAATGGGCCTCGGCGGCGTCCACAACTATGCCCAGGTAACAGGGCTCCGATTCCTCCTCGGCGTAATGGAAGCTGGCCTCTTCCCCGGCTTCGTATACTACCTTACATTCTGGTATCGAAACTCCGAGCGATCGATTCGCGTGGCCCTAATTCTTGCCTCGGCAACACTTGCTGGGGCATTTGGCGGTGCTATTGCCTTTGCTGTGGGGCATATGAATGGCGCTCATGGCCTTTCTGCTTGGAGGTGGCTGTTTATTATTGAGGGCGCCCCGTCGTGTGCGTCTGCTGTTCTGGTCTGGTTCGTGTTGCCAGATTACCCGGAGACTGCCAATTGGCTTACTGCCGAGGAGAAGGAGCTTGCTGCGCAGAGGTTGATTTTGGAAGGATCCAAGGGTTCTGCTCAAGCTATGTCTTGGGAGGATGCTAAGGCTACGCTGACAGACTGGAGATTGTATGCTCATTATGCGGTATGTTTTCTGGGCCTTTTTCTCCTGCCAATCTCTGGAAGACTAACAAGCCAGAAGGTGTACTTCGGAATCTCAACGCCATTCTCGAGTCTTTCTCTTTTCACGCCTGCCATCACTGCTGGTCTGGGATACTCTGATCTCCGTGCTCAACTGATGACCGTGCCTCCATACGCGGTGGCCTATGTTGTGACCATAGCAGTGGCCTGGTCTGCGGACTACTTCAACAGGTAAATTTCCTTATATTTTGAAGCATACTCAGCCACTAACCTGAAACCATAAAATTTCAGCCGTGGTCTCCATTCAGCCATCTTTTCTTTCATCGGGGCAATAGGCTTTCTCTCCTCCGCTGTTCTCCCCGCTAGTGCATATCTAGTGAGTTGCCCAATCATCCCAAGCGCGCATCAAAGCAACGGATATCATAAACTGACCCAAATATTAGAGCCGCTATGGATGCCTCATAGTCGCGGCCAGCGGCGCCTTTGCCTGTATTCCACCTTTACTAGGCTGGCTATCCTCCAATATCAGCTCAACAGCCGGTGCAGGGCTCGCAATCGCACTCAACATCTCATTCGGTGCCCCAGGCCAGATTGTCGGTGTCTGGATCTACAAAAGTGACGAAGCAAAGATCGGATACCCAACCGGTCATTGGACAAATGCAGCATTGCTTTTCTTTGTGACAGCAGGTTGCATTCTATTGAGGCTCTACTACGGGTGGCGCAATCACCGTGGAGATGGGGCAAGAGATGGAAAGAGTTTCGCATATTAGATTAGTAGGGTTGGAGTGTGGTGGTGAAAGTCAATAGGACTCAGTTGTACGAGCTGCAGGGTGTGCATGTCGTATATGAAATTGGGACTGCATGCATCTGAGTCATAAAATACATAGATACTTGAAGTAATTAATTTTAATGACAAATTATAAACACTTGATAATTTGTACTTCGTACGGAGTATGGACAGTAAATAGATAACTTTAGCTCCACTATCTAACTAAATACTTTGTAATGCACGGAATGAAATGCAAGGTTTAGATCTGTATTATACATCTTGGCTGAGTCTCTAATGTTCCCTTAACTAGATTTCCAAATTCAAATTCAAATCATATTCCAGATCTGCATGAGCCCTATATATAATGTTGTCAACAATAATCACAGCTTCTCAGCCAATACAAATATTCCACGCCCATCCCACCACTCCAGATCTAGCCGCACCCGCCACCATCTCCACCTCCACCACCTCCATCTCCACATCCAGCAGTAGCAGCATCAGTTTAACGGTTCTTTTTCTTTTCAGTTGCTTCGTGGTCTTTGTTGTGTGTGTACTGGCCGTAGGATACGCGCCGTCGGGGCGGAGAATCATATGCCTCTTTACGCGATGAGCCGAAACACATGATAATATTTGGCTAGAAGGGATTCGTTTAGAAGGGAATAGATACAACATAGCAGTTTGATGCTTTAGATTTCTCGGGTATTTTAGACAGTGTTTGGTTTGAGGTAAAGTGTCGTCGGATTGGCTTCGGTGATGGAATAATAAATTTCTAGTATTCCAACACCAATATTTACTCTCTGTCTGGCATTGAAAAGATTTGACATTTTAAATAGCTAGATTTTCACTTGCTGTCTCGTATAAGCCGATCGACATAAGCACCGCCCGAGGAAGGCTGAGTACAAATATGGCACACCAAGCAGGAATCTTGGCGATCGCCCTTCGGGCGAGGATTTGTATAATGTACAATGTTGATAGTATACCGAACATAATGCTAGCCCTAATTACCGAAACCCCTATCTTTAGATGTCTTTCTAGCATTTCGAGTTCATCCGAGGCCAGCAATGAGTCGGTCAAAATAGACAATTAGAGTTCAGCGTTCCATGGTTCACTTCAAAGTAACTGACCAACCTTGGAACATCTAACGTCGAATCTACAACGTACGTTTTTGTAGAAAATATATGCTTCGCAAAGTAATATTAAGAATACCTTATTAATACGTATTTGGTTCATTCAACCCAAAAGACAAGGTCGGTCATTTGGACTGCTGCCCAACTCGGCCGCTATGCATCGGAAATTAATGTTTGGCTACTCCCGCGTACGGAGTAGACACATGGCCAATGCTGTGCTACCCGCGGATGTGTAAGTTCGGGTGGGAGGCCAATGCGGCAAGAACCCGCGATGATCAACAGTCTCAAACGAGTGTAAACATGTACAACACCCTTTTTCTGAAAAGGGACGGGTTTGTTCCAGCCGGTGGTGGTCATAGATCATGGATCCATTACGGTGTAGTATACCCGTAATTAGTAAGAATCAAGGGAAAGGAAGAATTCACCCATAAAAGCTCTGTCGATAGATATTCTGTAATCGTATAATAAGAAACAAAGGAGAACAATCTGATAGAAACCAAACCCCGACCATTACAGTCCCAAGTCCAATACCATCCATATATGATACCAACGTAATAGATAACCCGGTCCAGTTCCGTGTCCGAACTTCCAAAACCAAACATAGCCTAACAAGAGACAACATATATCAAGGAAACTCCCTCTATCAGGCGCATACACCCGATCTGAACCAAGGAAAGATAAAGCAAAATAAAGCGTATCGAAGAATGAGGTGGAACGTAACTCGAATCCAAATCCAAATTCTAGACAAGTAGATGCCTGGAAAATGAGAGATTTTGCCCGGTCTTAATCCTGTAATTCCCCTTCTGAACTTTTGCCCCAATTTGCTTCCATCGCCACATTTGCCATGTCGCATCGCGTTTGAGGTTGGGACAATTCGCTTTGCATCCGCGGTGGCACAGACACACGCATTTGTCCATAGCTCCAAGGGAAACGAGGCAGCAGGGGTAGTATATATTGCAAATGCCACCTTAGACTTGTCAACAATACCACAAGGTACAATTGGCATCTGAGCCGCGCAGCAGGAAGTAACGATTGTAATGTGTCCCGGGTATGACATCGAACCCGCTCGAGCATGACAAGTCATATGTTCTCGAAGAGACAAATACCAGTCACTTGACACGATGCATGAGACCTGAGCCCCTCGCCTCCCATCGTGTGGCAGTAAGCATCCGGCCCAATTTCCTGTTTTGGCTCAAGGCAGACAGCGCAAGGCAGAGACAAATCAAATGCTAAAGACGACCTGTATGAACCCAAACCAGGGGAGACAGGAGCAGTAATTGGTCGTGTAGAAACGTACGTGGGATGTGTCTCCAAAGAAATACGTAGAGGCACTCCCAGAAGACACGTATGTGCGAGGGGGAGAGGCGCTGAAAAGAGCCAAAAGGGAGTCTGGTTCGTGATGCATCACACGAGGCCTGACAACATCCAGACACCGTATCATGTACCTGAGCCGTCGGGATCTCGGTGTGGTGTCTCACGACTGGTGCTGAGGTTCCACAACTGCGAAACAAGGTAGTGACCTGCAGTTGGAAGTGGTCATCCGGGCAGGGAGGGTGCATGGTGCATTTTTCCTTTTTATTATTATTTGTCCGTCCTTCCGGTGCCAGAAATTATCCCATCAAAGCCCATGGCATGGATTCTGCATTGCAGTGAGCCATTGTGGGTAGGACTTGCAAGAACCGAGAAGCTGTGGTTATCGACGAGGGATAGTGCATGCATCAGCAGGACTCGGGGAGAAAAGGGTGTCGACACGAGAAAGAGGTGGGAGGAGAGGAATGCGGTGTAGGGGATATGCTTTTTTTCCTGCAGTCAAAAATGCAAGTGAGAGAGCAAGGCGACAACAAAAGGTATGGGTTTTTGTATCGGATAGGACTTGTGGATCCCCGAGGGCCCTTCACAGCAGGCGGAAAACAAACCAGAACAAGCACCCACCACACCAGGAAATGAAGAGCAACAGCGTTCAGGATCAACATCAGAATCGAGAACCAAAAAATTTGATAAAAACACAATAAGGGAAGAGAATGCCACCCAAGACTAGTAGGAAATATTTGAAATAAAGAATACGATCAGAACCCGCCAGCTCCGCGACCATAGCCGGACGACGTTGCCTGCGGGAACAGCTGACCCTGGTAGACAGTAGCAGCTCGGGGCTGCTGGTTCAGGGTCTTAAGGGCAACCTCGGCGGCGTCCTCTTTGGCATTGTTGATAAACTGACCGTCATACCAGTAACGAGCGGCGATGTTCTGGCCCTGGACGGTGACGGTGCTAGACCAGGCGGTACGACCTCCTGCGATTCCGAGATAAAAGTAATTAGTTTTCTGCTGCCAAAACCTCGGAAACTAAAAGTCGGTGTACAAGTGAAGGGGGGGGGTATTTTTCTCTGTCTTTTTCTGCAAGACTCCACTCCTTCCTGCAATGCCCACACGCGAGGCACACAGTGGTGGATAGAGGCACGCTGTGCGCATATGTATTGGACCGGGGATTAAGAGTGGAAATGAAATAATCAGGTTCTGCAGCATAGAAAGACGGTGGATGCGAGACTGAAAGGAAGGAGGAGGAGGATTGGAAATCGGGTAAGTACCTCGCCGATCGGAGACAATGTTGAAGACAGGAGCAGACAGCTTAGTACGTGTACAATGATCTGTAGATGGTTAGTCAGGTATTATTGTCATTTGGGAGGAATTTAGGGCTGCTGAGGCTTGACCACGCATTCCAATGGCTTACCCTGGAGTTGGTCTTGCCAGCTGGGCCGGCTGCCAATACTATTTCCTTGGGGACTGGTAGTATACGACATTGTTGCTTCGTAGAAAGATGAAAAAGCAGGGGAGCTGTTAAGCTTTGCAATTGAGGTGGGATGAAGTGGGATAGAAGGTGAAGAGAATATGAGCCCAAGATAGTGTCTGTTAATAAACCAATTGATGATGAAGATCAAAAGAGAGAGAAAAAAGGCAAGCTTTGAGGGGAAATCACGAGAAGATATAAAAGAAACAACCGGATCAGACAAGCTCAATTGGACCCGTTTGGAATCTCTCGAGATCTTCTTAAATGTATTTTTCAATGACCTTCAAATGGACGACATGGGGAGCGGGGAGTCATATAAACACAGTGGGCCATATCTTCAAGGCCAGGAAAGAAAACCCCGTGGTTGTTTTTTCCTTTCTTCATTTTTTTTCCTCTGTATTTTTTTTTTTTTTTAATTTTACTATTTCTTTTTTTTTTCTATAATTTTTTTTAAAATATTTTATTTTCCCCCTGGGAACAAACAGGAGCCTAACCGTCAAACCTAACGGAGGGGGGGGGGGGGGGCTTNTGGACATGGCACAGCGTCAGCCAAATCCCCCCCTCCCTTATCCACCAGTCAAGGAACGTAGGCGAAGAGTATGCGGATCATTTTGAGGCTGCAACCTGGAACGGCCCGGCGCACGCCGACTAAGCAAAAAACAGCCCTTGAAGAAACGCTAGACAGCATGTAAGGGTTATGGAAGAGGGGCAAACCGGGTGCTCCCAAGTTAGTTCCCGCTCCATGACAGACAGGGAGATATTGGCTAGTACTCCTAGGATCCAGAATAAATGACACCTTTTTCGGAAGCAAGTTGGATGCGGATTGGATGGAAAAAGTGAACAACTCAGAGAACCCCACGTTGGTTTTTTATTTTGTTTTTTTTTGGATTTGCATGCGATTTTCATTTTGGATTTTTCATTCTTTTTCTTTGGGGGTTTTCTCTCTCGCCTCACTTGAGCACAAGTACCTTAGGGCAAGGGAAAAGAGAACGGAAACATTATCATTTCCCGAGATTAGTTTGCGCATGGACTTTAACCGTATCGGCGGAACGGCGGGCTTCTGGAACAACCATGAGGGACTGCATGAGGGGTAGAGAGCTGTGGGTGCTCTCTGCCCAAAAAGCGGAGCCTGTGGCCACAGCGTCAGTGTCATAGCTTTTATTGTTTAATTGTTTTTCGGGTCTTGGAGGATGTGGAGGATGCCCGAAATGTAGATTCAACCAGGTTGGGCCGCATCGGAAAGCGTTGCCAGCTCATCATGATGGATGAGATCATGATTATTTTCGGAGGTCGATTCTCCCACATTGTTGACTCGGGAGTTGCTGGGCACCTTCGAAGCCACAGACCGGGCCGCCCTGCATGAACAGTTGCTGTCGGGCCCAGGATCAACATAGAAGAGGGAAAAAGGGACAAAGCGATGGAACAAGGCAAGATGGGTGGCATTACCGGAGAAACGTCAGAGAGGCATCAGGAGAGCGTGTGTTGCAGAGATCTGGGAACAAAGATACGGCCAAGAACCTCCTAGTTCATTTTCATGTTGTCGGCTAGTCCCGTCGGGTTAACCGCCCGATGTGCAGAGACACCCATAGAAGGAAATTCATCGACAGTTCATTTGGTATTGTTCACAGATAATTTGAATACCCCAGTCGGAGTGAGTGTTCGTTTTGGCAGACAATGTGTTGGGCATTCATGCAGAGTTGACAATATCCTCAACCATGGTTCTCAGTAATGCGGCTAACATCGAGTATATGCACGAAACACGTAGAGAAACAGCCGATGGTCGACAGGGGACTAGGCCAGCACATTATAGGGCGTCTAAAATATTGGGAAAAAAAGAAAGAAAGAAAGAAACAATGAATGAGGGGCTTGCCCCGCACCCAATCTTGATTGAAGTACATCTATACATGTATGCTGCGCAGTAGACTACATAAGTACCACGTACAATGTTGGTACCTACAGTAGTAGACATAGTAGACCAGTATAATTGCATGCTAAGAATACATACGGGGTATCATATTGGCTATTTCTTGACTTTCCATAAGGCAGCAAGGCCAGGGGTGTTCTTTGGGCTGTTACTGGCGCTAAAAAGAAAAGATTCATCCAGAACCAATCGATCATGAGCCCTAAACAGTAGTACTGATAATTCTTCATATGATACTCCGTACACTAGTCCATCCATTCTCTCCCCTGTCTGCATTATGAGAAAAGTCTTGGGTGAGTAGGGTGTACATGCATTTGAAACAGGTCAATACCTAGGCAGGTCGTAAGATCCAGAGGTCAATAGAGCACGAGACATTTAGCTCGAGACTCGAACCATGGTTCACAGAATAGACTAGCTCTAGCTCCAAAACAGTAACCATGGTTCAGTTTGGAGCGGTCAGATGCTACGTAACATCCGATGCAACACCAGCATAACAATAACCTTGGGTCAGGATGTGAGATGAAATTGTAAGCTATCATTGTCCATGCTCGGCTCTGCAATATAAAAAAAGGCCCTAAAACCTGCAAGCCTGCTTGGCTCCCTGTCAAATCCGTATTAGAGGATCGCCCGGAATTAGGCTCGTGTCCCCGGAATCCCGTTAAACCGAGATGATTCGTGTCAATTAACAACAAACATGAGGCAAAAAGGATGCAGAATGAAAAAGCAAAAATAAATATAAAAAATAAGAGGCATGGCACGAATAATCCACAAGAAGAAGAAGAAGAAGAAGAAGAAGAAGAAGAAGAAGAAGCTAAGCTAGAACAAGAACAAAACATTCATATCCTTTATTCACATCATTAAGTCATTAAAGGCAGCATCAAGCCCCGTGCGCCATAAATATGTGGACTAATGCAGGACCAACTCATCCATCTAGTTCATCTTATCATAGACCTTGTCTGGTCTTGGAGCCGAGGGCCCCTGTGTCGCTTAGGCAGATCCTCTCCGCTGCAGTACTTGGCCGATCAGGCGCCGAGGGCCCATGCGCTCTAGGCTCTTGACTAGCGAGTGCTGAGCGGGCAGGATCCAAGACGGACGCCGCTCATGATGCCAGCGACGACGAATGCAGTCGTCAACTAGCGCAAGTATCCCTGTTGCGACAATCACACTGAAAAAAAAACGAACCGATTCATCAGCCTCATGCCTCATCATCACTTTGCGCAGGGGTACTAGGGTGCATTGCGCGTGGTGCATGTGGTGCATGCGTTGGTGCATTGTACACGAACCACACACCCCCCTTATACGAACCACAGAAAAAGAAAAGAGAGACCAACAAAAAATAGGGGGAGAGATACAAAACAAAAAGCAAATAGAGTCAAGGCCATATTTGGAGCCCGAGCTAAGGATAGAAACAAAAACTAGCCAGGTGGGGGAGGGGTGGGACAGGGATTCAGAAGAACTTACTCGGCAACATCAGGCATCGTTTTGTAAACTTCGGGATCACTGATCCACAATGAAGAAGGCGGCACCCAACCCCCCTTACTTTCCTCTTCAACAACCTCCAGCGGCGCCAGCGTATCCGGCACCAAATGAGCAATAGTCTTGGAAGTGCGCGTGTCAACCAAGAAATAAGACACTTCATGCAGATCACCCTCTTTGCGGACCTCCCTCCGCCACTGGTACTTCGTGGACCAATACTCGAACTCGTATTTCTTAGTCGAGCCAGGTCCTTTGCGACGCAGCTCGACATGCGCATAATTCGAGAATTCGAGCAAAATCGTCTCACCCAGTATCGGCAAAGTCTGTCCTTCTTTCTCTTTCTCCAATTCATCCTCTTCAACTGACCCCTTATCTACCTCTTCCCCCGCAAAATGTCCATGTCCATAGCCAGCCCCAGGCCTTGATTCCTGCCTCTTGAGCTCCCCATTGGGCGGAGAATGACCACCGACTGAACCAGGCCTAAACCCAGCAAAAACATTACTCCACGAGGTGTGCAGCACCGGCCTTCGCTCATGAGCAGGCACAACCTCTCGCCTTGCAGAATGGCACACCTCGCGCCCAGAGTCCCGGCAATACCGCCGGAACGAGAACTTCCGCGAGAAGAGGTCGTACATGCGCAAATGGAAGAGGATGACGTCGCGCTGGGAGCCGTCGCGGAGGTGGACCGGCGTGTCGACGCGCAGGTTCATGTTTCCGTCAATGGTTGCATCGTCGTGACGGATGAGCAGTCGCCGCGATGAGGGGAAGAGCGGCGCAAAGGATGAAGGTGTTGAGGGAATTGCGTCCAATGGGTAGAATTCTTGCCGCTCATTTACGCAGTAGCGGCCTTCATGGGGACTTGCCGGCTCGATTGGTTCGGGCTCCGGGTCAAGCTCGGCTGTGGAGTATGTTGTCGAGGCGTAGGTCAAGGCTGAGGAGCGGGGATATGGCTCGCGGCACTCGTACTCGACTTCGACTTCGGCTTCGGATCTGGTGTGATGTTGGTTGGCTGGGTTCGTGACCCAGTCGCTTTTGTGTGGTTTGGGGGCTATTCGATCGCTGTGAATTGTTGCTGCCGTGCTTTTTGAGCATGAACTGTCTGTTGAGCTGTAGCTGCCGGCTTGGCAGGATTTATAGGAGCCCATGGTGTTTGTGAGATTGGTTTGGGATATGGCTTGTGATGTTGATTTGAGGCTATAGGTGCGTATGTGTATGTGATCCACTGATCTATAGTGAAGGAGACGAAGAAGGGTAGAAGAAGTGGAGATAAGCCAGGAGTAATATCAAAATCAGCCGTAAGTAAGCCGCAGGTGGTGTGGTTGACCAAATAAGGTATATCAGAGCAAAGGCGATCACACCCGGCGTTTGGACCTGTAGATAGTCCGGTTGATTCCGTCGAGGAGGGGTCAGATTCTCATAACATGGGGTACCGAGGAATAATAACAGCGACAAGGGACATTAGATATGATATCCCTAGGGTTATTATCAGGGATAATACAAGTGAAAGCGAGAAAGAGAATCATATGATCGAGAACGAAAAAAAAGGCAAAGGGCAGGGGTAGGGGATTTCCTGTTTGAGAAGGCAAAATATATAGAAAAAATATATAGGGGGGATT